ACAACCTATTTAAATAACCGAGTTTGCGCATAATATTGTATGCGCCAAGTTGATAGTATTACTTTTTCTACTTATTTTAAAGGTAAATAGGACGTCTTATGTAGGTCTTAGCGACGTCAATAGGACGTCTAAATATTGAGGTCCTGATATCGTCTTTATATTAACGTCACAAGGACGTCCTAACAAAGACGTCTTTACCAGACGTCTTTAGGACGTCCTAATTTGGTCTGAGACGTCGCGACCTAGTTAAGACGTCCTTAAGACGTTTGATTGACGTCTGTGCCCGCTGGGAAGTCCTAATTGCAATCTAATTGAAATACTTTTTGATTCGCCTAAACGTAAAAAAAAAGAATATAAATTTTTGTAATTGTTGCCTTTATAAAATTTCAAAAAAGTTATTATAAAATCTAACTTTTCGTTAAGTGGTATTGTGGTTTATCCTCCTCCGGTTAATTGCCATATACCTCCAGCTAATTGCAACATACCAAAATTTGCAGAAAGCAGATTCAATGAAGCACTTATAAAGCAGATTATACACCTTCATAGAATAAGAGAAAGTAAATTTTGTCAAGAAACGAAGTGAAATAAGTAAAAAAAAAGAACAAAAAAATAAAAAAGCAAGAAAAAGTCATATTAGAAAGCAAGCGCAAAGAAAGCGGTCAGACAATGCACCTGATGATAGATTGGGCGATTGCACTTATTTGTTAATATTGTATTACCATCTGACTACAAATTTTTGCTAAGAGCAATAAAACTTATGGTATTATTGTAGTGTATTGTATTGTACTTATGTAGTGTATGTACATATACCCATCAGTTTTATAGACATTAATCATATTTGATTCGCTCCTAGTTTGATCCATATATGTATATATATATATATATATATATATATATATATATATATATATATATATATATATATATAATGTATATATATATATATATAATATATATATATATATATATATATATATATATATATATATATATATATATATATATATATATATACTATATGTATATTTATATATATATATATATATATATATATATATATATAGTATATATATATATATATATATATATATATATATATATATATATATATATATATATATATAAATCTTACATTCAAAATTACATACAGAATAACTTTCTGAGATAAAAAGGGAATAATGCTAAATTATTTAAAAAAAACTTCCAAGCGGGAAGCGTTCTATACGACGTCTTACAGACGTATATATATATACATATATATATATATATATATATATATATATATATATATATATATATATATATATATATATATATATATATATATATATATATATATATATATATATATATATTATATATTATATATTATATATTATATATTTATATAGTATGGGTCAAAAAATGGTGAATTTTTTATTTTTGCACTTTTTTTTATAAAATGACACTTTTTATTTGATTAATGAATTCAAATCGATGATTTGAAATTATTTAATAGCAAATTTAAATTCCTCTTGAAAAATGCTATAATTTATATATGTGAAAGTTTGTAAGAATCATCAGTCTTCATAAGAATATTTCCTATTTTAAATTTTAGTTTGTTTTAGTAAAAGCCGAAATCTTAAGAAACGTACATAATCTATGTACATTTATATACATAAAATGTATATAAATTAACATATATTAGGGTTTTTATGTTCCTCAAACTAACTACTAAAATAAATATTTTTAGAGATGGAAACTGGTCAACTTCCGATTGCTGCCAAAGTTGAGAGAAAGGTATTTTTGTGTGGCTTTGAATCAGGTGGAATGAGATAGTAAAATGGGAAAAAGATCATCTTCATTGGACTGTTGATCGATGGCGTCATGTATTCTTTTCTGATAAGTCACCATATGTTTTATGGCTTGTGGGGAAAAGACGTGTATGGCGCAGACACAATGATCGTTATTTAAAGGGGTGTACTATTGGACCTGTCAAGCACGATGCCAAGTTAATGGTAAGGGGTTTCTTTGCTGTTCACAGTTTAGGTAATTTATATCGAGTACCAGGTATTATGTAGCAGAAGCAGTATCACAAGATCCTTCAGTATCAATTAAAGCCAAGTCTGAAAAAGCTATTTTATATTTCAGATAATGATCCTAAACATACTGCAATAATAATAAAGCATATGTTGTCAACCAGAAATAATAAACATTCGATTGGCCATCGCAGAGTCCTGATCTAAATCTATTTGATATATATATATATATATATATATATATATATATATATATATATATATATATATATATATATATATATATATATATATATATATATATATATATATATATATATAAATATATATATATATATATACATATATATATATATATATATATATATATATATATATATATATATATATATATATATATATATATATATATATATATATATATATATATATATATATATATATATATATATATATATATATATATATATATATATATATATATATATATATATATATAAACAAATTCCAAATCGTCGATTTGAATTCGTTAATCAAATTTTATAAAATTTTATAAAAAAAATTTTATTAAATCATTTTATAAATAAAAAAAGCGCAAAAAAAAATAGGACTATTTGCAGTAGACATTTTAAAATCTATGCAGAATCAAGTAGAAAAACCTTTTGATAATGATATATTTCTAGCTGCATTTTATGTTGATGCTAGATTGGAAGAAAATACTATTAGAAGAAAACCAGATAATACAAGCAAAGCAAGGCTTAAAAACAATAGCATAAAAAATTTATAAAAAAGATGCCAAGAATATAAAAGAAAGTCGAGAAATAAGAACAACTGTTGTGCTATCTACAGTATTTCTTTCAAGTTTAAGTGAATCTAATTCCCATGAAAAAGAGGATGAGTTTGAAAAGGAGTTTGATAAAAAAAGAAAAAAAGGTAAGTGTGATCGAAATTAATTTTGGTCACCCTTCTTTTTTTAATTTTTTTGATAAAAATGCTTTTAATACAAATTTTTAAACGACTGTAGGATAATGGAAGAAATGGGACGTTTAAAAGTGAGTTCAGCAGTATATATATATTGCTGTTTGGGGATCCTTTTATATATGATAAATGAAAAATTTTATGAAATCATACTAAGAAATATTTTTATTTTTATATAAAAAACTATAACTAAAGACATGTGAAACTTAGGTTTTTTTATCAACTTTTTATTTTAAAGTTAACTTTCACATGATTCCACAGTGTTTCCAACTTTATTTTGCTCTTTACACGAATCAAAAGCAATGTAAAAAATCTAGCTGCACAAAATTGCACAATTTTGTTTAATTTGCATTTGAAATTTTAACTTATTGTTGAAAAATAATAAAAAATAGTTGTTTTTTTCTTCTGAAATACATTTTTTTCGTATGTATCATCCTTCCATAAAACTATTGCTAACCTTCCTTACAAATATCCAATACAATATTGTAATAAATTATTATTATTAACTCGTGCAATCAAACGTAACGCGTGAAAAAACATGTATGTGCGCAATGTACGTGTTAAAGCTGCGCATGAAAAATAGTTCTATCAAAAAATTTGAATACTTTGACCGAAAAATCTATTATTTCAACATATAACATGCTATTTTACGGTGATTATCAAAAGTTATAGATTTTTTGCTGTTTTTTGATCATTCAGAGGCATAGTGCGTTGGGTTGTATACATTGAATCAATGTTTGGGTTATATCCGTTGGATCAACGTTAATCCATATTCTTTGAATCAAAGTTGGGTTTTATTCATTGGATCAACATTGGGTTTATATCATAAAACAATCAACTTTTGCGATGGTTATACAACGATAAACCAATTTAAATGTGGAAGTAATTTTTTGTCTTTATCTTTTCATTGATATCATTGCTAAACACATAACATTGATTTAACATTGGATTTGCATCAGAAAAAACAGCCAAGAATTGCGATGGTCTAACATACGCCCAATAAATGCGTGCTAGCGTGGAAGGATATTTTTCTGCTTAAAAAAAAAAATCTAAAATTAATAAAATTATATCCTTAATTTTAATAGCTATAAGTAAAATCTATATATTTTTTTATTATTACAATTATTATCATTGTTATAAAAATAATCATTTTTATTATTACTGTGGCATCAAATAATAACTGCATTTCATCAAATAATTACAGAATATTTCAGTGTTTAAGAAATGTAAGTAACTAAACGAGAAATGTATGAGAAATGTAAGTAACTAACGTCTACCCGTTCTATTTTTAAAAAATTTAAAATCATAACTTTTTTTAATCAGTTAATAGTATCATTATAAATCGCTACCAGTTTCTTTTCAATAGGGTAGAGCGGGACATATCGGGACAGCGGGGCATAACGAGACAGTTATGCCTGATGCCTTATATCTCAGCTAATAATAATTATTATTTTTAATTATTTTTTGACAAAACATTAGTGCTTCATTATTGTTAGAAAAAATTTGATTTTAGAAATACCAAAATGCATTAAAAGTACCAAAAGGCATCAGTAAGCTTGCGAAAAACAAAATTTGCGTATTTTCTTAAGCAATACAGCGACAAAAGATTTATCTTGAATTCTTGGGAATTTGCTTTATTTTTAAAAAGTTTATATTTTTCAAACAGTATTTTTTATCCTCTTTTAGAATCTGGTTTTAAAAAAATATTTGGAATTGAACTTTTTGAATAGTATCAATTTCAGTAAATTTTGGGGCAAATCGAGACAACATATCGAGACAACAAAAGTATTTATATAATTGAGTGTATTACTACCATTTCGCGATGTTGTTTACATGTTTACATGTTTTGTTTTTTACAGTTTGATGAATTTATCTTTAATTTAAAGTATTTTTTTTTATTTAGAAAAACAATTTTAGCAATAAATTCAGTTTTAGTTGTGAGTAAACAGAAACTTAAAATTAGAAAAGCTACTGATACACATGGCATATTTAAGTTTGCTCTACATTGACATATTGCTAATAAGCCAGCTCATCAAAATGTTCCCGAACAGTTTTAGGATACTTTTTGTGTGATTTATATGATCCATAAAATTTTTTGTTTAATTTCAAATTTAGTAGCAGTTTAATAATATATAGGTTAGAGTAGAGCGGAAATTATTTTTAAAGCTTTACAATAATTGTAAAGCTTTAAAAATAATTAAAAAATGAAGGCTATCTATCGCCTAAATAAGTTCAGATATTAAACTCTCAAAAAAGTAACATACCCATAGATACTACATGCCCATACACCCATACATCACAAAATATAAAATATCAGCTGAAATAAAATATTTTTTTATGTGTTTTATTATAAAATACCTCCGCACTACTCTAACCTATCGTCAATTATTGACGAATAATTGCTGCTTTTTAACTGTCTTGTTTTGCCCCACCCACTTGCAAAATGTAAAAAGTTTGCTAGTCAAGAGTTTCGTTACTTTGGTTGTCATAACTTATTTTTAGAAATTTTTTTGTTATTTTTTTATTTTCTTATATCAATGAATTTTAGGAAATTTATAAAAAACAGTGTTTACTAGTTTATCCGCAACTAGCATTTTTTTCTTAAGTGTCCCTATATACCCCACTCTACCCTATATTTAGATTGTTTTACTTATTTCTGAAACAATTGTCAACACTGCCAATTCGTGTTTGCCTGTTTGTATTCAATTATCAATATCAATATGTTTAATATTTTCATTTGAAAATGCACTTCTGCATTTCACACATTTTACATTATTTTCTACTTTTTTTTACATTGTTGTTTTTCTTTAACCTTTTAAAGAAATTTAATTTTCAATATTGGTTCTAATTTATTAAAAAACAATAATTGAACTTTAAGCACAGCAAGTTTATTACGATATGTCGATATTGCAACTTTGTAGCTAACGGTATTATTACAAAATTTTGATAACAACATTCATGGACGTAGACAACTTATTTAAATTGTGAGAAAATAAGGGCTACGAAGAAGAGAGATGCAAGAAATCTGTCTCTTATCAACAAAAATTTTCAATATTCTGTAGTTATATCTTATCTCTTATGTATAGAGCAACATAGCATATTTTATAAAGGTTCCATAAATTCTCTTTAAAGTATCAAATATCCTATATTTCCCAGTTAGCACACATACATTAGGCCAACTTATGTAAAACCATCGTGAACTTTGGCTGTTTTTTCCGGTACAAATCCAACGTTGATCTAATGGTATGTTTTTAACAATAATATAGCTTGCACATTGGACCAAAGTATGAAAACCATCGCAAAACTTGATTGTTTTTACGATTTAAATCCAACGTTGATCGATGTAAATAACCCAACGTTGATTCAATGCATATAAAGTTGACCCATTAAAATTGACCCAATGTATATAACCCAACATTGATTTAATATATACGAATCAACGTCGGTATAATCTATACAATCCAAAGTTGCGAATGCAAAATTATATACTTTAAATAAAATTTTCCGTAAATATTAAAATATTAAGCCACAAGTAAAACAAACATAATTAATATCTTTAAATTTGATTGATATCCTCAAACCTTACACAAGCCAACAAAATTATACATTTGTATGTTTTTCTTATAGTATTTCTCATTCTGATTTTAAATAAATTATCTTTTTTGTTTCTATCATGTCAAGTTTTAAAGATATTAGGGTTCAAAAGATATTAGGGTTCAAATATTTGGGGTAAAATTCCTAAATTTTGTCAAAAAAAAAAAAAATGTCATCCTGGATCTCAAAAAAAAGCATTTATTTAATAGTAAATTAAATTTTTAATAATTTAATTTATTTAAATTATTAAAAATATTCAATTTTATTACAAACTGATATTAATTTTGAAATCTCTGTGAAAAGTCGCTACTTTTGAGACTGGGTTGACATTGACAGTTTTGAAGAGGCTTTTTTTTGACAATATTAGGGATTTTACCCTAAATATTTGAGATTTGAAATTTTTTTCTATCACTGATAGAAAAAAAAAGGATTGCATATTTGAAATCAGAATGAGGAATACTAGAAGATAAACTTATTGTATGCAAAAAAAAAAGGTATATATATATATATATATATATATATATATATATATATATATATATATATATATATATACATATATATATATATATATATATATATATATATATATATATATATATATATATATGCCTATTTTGGATTTTTAGTGTCGGCGACGTGCATTTGTAACCAAAATGATATAAGCAGTGTTGACGACAGGTGTTGCACCAACGTAACTTGCAACATTGTTTTAACGTTTTACCAACGTACTAGCTGAGTTGTAGCTATAAATAAAAAAAAAGGTAATAAACTTCAAACACACGGAGATTCAAATGTTTCTATATTTGTGCATCTACAGCCTCATGCATGAGTTCGTTGTAACGGGATGGGGTGTAAATCGTTAAATATTACAAATACGATAACATCAATTGACTACCATTTAAAACATGTCTATATAAGGGCAGGATTGAAAAGTTTTTTTTTTCAAAAGGAATGACCTTTGCAAACTAAATTGAAAATTCAAAAATAAATAAAAACGTTTACAAGGGAGCAATAATACCTAACTTGCTACCTATAAAAACGTATTTAATTTCAGGTAAAGATATTGCATGTGGAATATTAAATTTTTTGTTACAGCCGTTGAAATTTGCGTCACGGAAGGAACCTATCGTTCCTTCCGTGACACAAGTTTTAAATGCATATACTAAAAATTTAGAATTCTTCGAACAATGTCTTTTCTCAAAATTAAATAGATATTTACAGGTAGTATGTTAGGTATTTTTGCCCCCTTCTAAACTTTTTTTTTTTTCAAATATCCAATTTAATTTACAAAGGTCATTCCTTTTGAAAAACAAGACTTTTCAATCCTGCCCATGAGTCAATTTACTCAATAGGTTGGTAGCATCAATTCCAATTTTTTCATGTAATTTATTGTTAAGTTTTTGTACTTCTTTATTATTTAAAAATGTTTTTTATAGTATGAAGTAAAATATGGCCTTCATTAATAATATTTTCAAATGCTAGGAGACGTGAAAAGTTATAGAAAATAAAAAACGGTAAACAAAGCTCGATTTTTAAAAAGCAAGTTTTACATAGTTTGAGACA